AAAAAAGGCACCTCGTTCCTACCTTTTCACATTTTTCACGAGCGGGAAAAAAGGCACATTGTCCCTACTTTCAAATAATTTTAGCAATGTGTCTAAACCACATTTCAGTTTTTTTTATCGCTTTCAACAAATATGCCAAATTTCAGATAGCGCCAATATATAAATTCTTATCTTTGGAAATTTTGAATAAAAAACTAATTTTTTCCAGGTATGCTTAGAAATACGTCTACTTTAAAATGACTGAAAATATTTTATAGATTATAATTCAAAAATTCTTTTGAAAAATTCATAAAAATAAATCATAAATGGGTACATTTCGAAATGTGAAAGGGAGAATCAAATAAGTTTCATAAAAAAAGAGAGATTAATAAATATATACAAAACTCAATTAACATTGAGGCGCTAAATTCTGAGAGCTAATTTTTTAAAAACTACTCATGGGATTTTTACAAAACTTCGTAGTTTGGCGTAATTTCAGTCGTAGAATTGAAATATGGAAAAAATATTGGTATGTTATTTCAGCAAACGTCCGATTTTGTGTCAAAATACCTATATTAGAACAATGAATATAAATCTAATACATATCCTATGACACGCTTTCGAGACATGAAAAACGCAAGTTGAATTTCATCAATCGGCCCAGTAGAACGAGAAATATAGAACTATCCCTTTTTGGGGGGCACAGTGCGCATATTCCCTTCATAGAGTTGACCCAGCCTTGTATCCCCTTAACAGAATGGGCCCCTTGGTCAAACCAACGACTTGATATAACCAACGACTTCATATAGTATATATCTCGTTGGATATAACAGTATATATCTCGTTGGGTCAAACCGGTCTTGCAGCCCCTGTAGCAACCACCACTCACAGAAATGTATTAGCATGGAGACCTTCGGGCAAGTGTCTGGAGGGCCCATTCGTTAAGATAGCCCTGTTTATTCCTACCGTAAGCATTATGCACTTTTTTTTATCCCACCATACGTATTCAACAACGCGAAGGAAATCTTTTTGCGTTAGAATACAATTTTAATCTGAAATTCAGCATTGTCCAGAACATGCAGGAATATCGGACCTTTACTGTACTTATGGATGGAGTTACCCCCTGGCGTTCTGGCTAAGACGCCCCTGGGGTACATAGTAGCCACAGTGACCGAACTGGTTACGTCTTGTCTGCTCCTTTTGGTTCATGGACCTTATAAGAAATAGACTAACCCAAACGGGTTTTCTCCCTCGTCTGAGGTGTTGCCGGCTGTCACCTTGGTCACATCCGGAGGAGTAGGGACGACTTGCAGAAATTTAACATTGGTTGCCTATTGCAGAGTGTATAATTGTCAAGAAAAAGCTGGTTGAGCGCCTCATTTCACAAATTAGAATTTATCCATATTTTTATTTTTGAAATTGAGATTGATTTTTAAAAATTTAGCATATTTATCAGGTATAATTAACGTTCCAAATAATTATAAAGCTATTGCATGCTTTCAGGGCTGGATATTTTTTTAGCTTTTCCTATGCTGTAAGGAAATTTGGAACTACTTCTTTTAGAAAATAATATTTTAAATCTGAACTAACAGAAAATTTCAAACAAAGAATTTTCTCTTGCAATTTTTATGCTTTTTATTGGTGTAAATAAGTAAAAAATACTAAAATATTTAAAAAAGAATTTTTGAAAGTTTTGTTTAAAATTCTAAATTGTGCTGCTTTTTAAAAATTATAGATGAATATTATAGCATAATTTCTGTAAAAGAATTTTATTTCAATTATATTTCATAATACATCATATTGATAAACACTTTTGATTCCTTAAAAAATTTTTATACATTTAATTCTAATATTGAAATTGTATTTAACCGTAATAATTAATTTTGCTTGTATTTTATAAAGATTATTTTTTTTAATTTATTTTATTTCTGCATAAGATTTTTTAAATTTACTGTTAATTTAATTTATTATCCCAAAGGGCGGTAGCCTAGAAAGGCTGTTAGTTTCGAAGCGGCATTTTGCGCTGTTTTATATACTATAAGTGTCCGTGTTTTACTATAAATGTCCGTGTCTCCTTGTAAATTGTTGTTACCAAATATTTTCGCCCTGTATTATATGTAAAGAAATCAAATAATGTAGAATCTGCATGAATACATGTATGTTTCTCGCACTGTGACAAAAACGACGGTATCTAGAGCCATCAAATTTTGAATAATGTAATCCTCCACCCGAACATGGGCATCTGGACGGCTGAATTTCGAATTTGTTTTAATATATTTCATATTTAGTAAAACTTTAACGAATTTTTGATTAACATACTCAACGAGTTCAAAGCGAGAGGACTGTACGGAAAATAACAGTTTTACCTCCAGTGCGGAAATTCTAAAGATATGCTGTTTTCAAATGTATGTGGTTTACGGGCGAAGAACATGATATTCAATAAATATAGGTAACACACAGAACTTTAAAAAAAATGTTCCTTTTGGGCGTAATATAAAATCTGAGTACTTCTAGATTTTATTTTATCTTTTTTTTTCCCCGTCATTACGCTCAGAAAATTTTATGCTCCGAATTTTATGAATTATTAAAATAACTAATCCCCTTGATGTTAATAATTTAATGATTATATAATCAAATAAATATGATCGTTTTGTAATGTTGTTATAATTTGGAAAATCACTGCCTGAAAATGTTCATTAAATTAAAAAAAATTATCATATCTTGTTTAATTTTACCTTATTTATTTCAAAGCATCACGTACTATCAATCTTATTTAATTTAATTTTATTTTTACGCAAAATTAAGTTCATAAATTTGGTGCTTAGAGTTTTTACCGTTTTACCAAAGTAAAGATGTTTGTATAAGAATTATGCGTGAAAAAAATGCGTGAAATGCAGTAAAAAGTGCTTGAGATATATTAAATCCTATTTGGAAAAAACTGGCTTTCATAATCTCATCATGATACAACGTATCACATTTAATAATTAAAAACAGTTATTTGATACAAACGCCATAGGTTTCAGTGTTAAAGTAAACCAGATCGTCCCTACTCCTTCTTGCCGAGATGTCGGTGACGCGCGGAGTCCAAGTTAAGTTATAAGAGATAGACTGGTTTAGTCTATCTCTTTTAAGGTCCATGTTTTGGTTGTGGTGACGTTACATAATGAGATATCGAAGGCTTCCCTTGGTCAACTCTGGGGGACAGTCTTTGACCTGAATTCTTTCTCTTTCTTTCTAGGTGGCCGCTATTGTTGGTCTGTATTGACTTGTGCGCAATTTTTGTGCCTCTGTGTTGAATGGGATCGCTTCTAGGGGTTTGGCCATCAAAACCGTGTTAACGGCTTCAAATGGCTCAGGTCGGGAAGTTCCTATCGCTTCTAGGGTTTGGCCATCAAAACCGTGTTAACGGCTTCAAATAGCTCAGGTCTGGAAGTCCCTTCTTCCTAGAATATTGTATTTACAAATTTGAGCTAACGGCATTATCTATCGGCAATTCACCCGAGTACATAAAATTCGAAATAACTGCCATAGTTACAGTGCGAGAAATAAAGGATAAGGTTCGGAGAACAGCTTTAACCCCAAAACGGGGAAAAACAGCTTATTATGGTAGACCACGTTATGCTTGTCATCCAATGACGTACTTCTTCTGGTACAATATTTTAATCAATATTGAATGTTAATACTTCACCGACCCTCAAATAACAATTTGCTTCTTCAATATTTTAATCAATATTGAATTCACCGAAATAACAAACAACTTCTTCAATATTTTAATCAATATTAAATGTTAATACTTCACCGACCCTCAAATAACAATTTGCATACTTTTCAAAGCCAAAGAGAAGCGGCGAGGAAAGCTTACATAAATGACTGTCTTAAGCGAAATTGTCAAATAGCCATGCTACACACAGAAAAAAAAAAAAAAAAAAAAAAAAAAAAAAAAAAAAAATTCCGATACAGGCGGTCTCTTTACCAGGATTTGAACCTAGTCACACTATCAGTGTTCAGCGCAGCATCTGCTGGGCCTTATTAAGGCTTTAGTAAAAGCATTAATATCGTTTCTTTTTTTATAAACTGGACATATATTTCTGGCTTTGCAAATTTTTTTTTGAAAGTTTTAAGTCGGCCATTAAAATAAACAGTGTCAGATCATCACGCATTCTTCAGCATCATCGTTCATTGAAAAAACTTGTTTTATTTCTGTGGTATATTCAAATGCTGTAGAAAGCACTTGGAATATTTTTAGCCCAGAAGGGCTACTAATTTCGTTTTGGCATTTTGTGGCGTTTCACTATAAACGGCATTTCACTTTTCAAATTGTTGCCACCAAATATTACCCTCTGCATTATATTGAAAGAAATAAATAATGAAGAATCTACATAAATGTATGTATTTTCCTCGCATTGTGATAAAACAATGGTACCTAGAGCCATAAAATTTTGAATAACGTACGTCTCCAACTGAATATGGCCGTCTGGAAGCCCAAATTTGGAATTTGTTTTATTATCTACTTCATATTTTGATTAAGAAACTCAACGATTTCAAAGCGACCAATGGCAACACTCTATAGGGGAAAAAATGCATTTTTATTTCCAGCGCGCGAGACTGTGTATCGGAAATTCTAAAGATATGTTCCTTTAAAATTATTTTGTGATGCTGCTGTTGAATTGAATTTTATGGTTTAACACACAAAACAAACAAACAAACAAACAAACAAAAAAAAAAAAAAAAAAAAAAGATCCTTTGGACGTAATATAAAATCTGAAAACTTTTAAGATTTTTTAAAAAATTATTTCTTTTTTATGTCAGTTTTGTTACAAATTGCAAATAAAAACTGCGTTTATTATAAAATTATGAGCAGCTGTTTCGAAACTTGCAATACTTTTGTCACCACAATTTAGCATCACAGTATCTTAGGGAGGAAGAAAAGAAATTGAAAGTATTACACGTGAATTGAATCACGTGATAAGATATGGCGAATAACTGGTCAGTTGAATGCTGTACTCGGAGGGAATGGGATGTCAGGGACTGTGTCTGTAAACACGATGTTTAACTAAGAAAACTTACGTACTTCTTTATGTTCTGTAATCTGGAAGAACTTAAGAAGCACTCAAATGATATGGAATTTCAAATACATATCACAATAATTACATTTTTTCTCATAAAATATTTAATACAAATATATTTCACTGGTCATGTGATAAGTGTCCACCAATGAGAGAGTAGTATTCTAACGGCCTCGCATGAAACGTACTCTTGATATGAGTAGCCATTGTTGCCCTAAAGGGGACTGTTTTATAAAGAAAATCTGTTTTAATTATGGAAGCGGAAGGCCATCCTACCATGTTGGGAAGTAAAAAGTCTACACGAAACGTCTCAAAAGGGTACTATAACGTTATTTTCAAATTATATTAACTCATAAAGTATGTTTGCGCCGATTATAGAATGGCTGTACGATTTCAAGGACAGGTATCTCGGTTTCAACTTTTACTACCGGAGATGCCGTACTGATATAAATGTAGAAATAGAAGGATTTGTGCAGGTATTTTGTTTACCTTATTATATATTTAGTTATCCATTATTTTTTTAGCAAAGCTTGAGCTCCGGAGTAGGGCGCCGGATTAGGCTTAGTTTGTTACGGCAATAGAAATTTGTGTTCAAAAATCGCCATTTTTCTAGAATATTTTTATCGATGTTCGTTTGTAAAAGCTCAGTTGAGTTTATAGTTAGAAAACTGAGAATTAGGGCTGAATTCGTAAGTGTAACACTTAAGTTAGGGGGAAATTATATACATTTGCTACACGTAAGTTATTCGCACGAAGTCGCTATAGCTCTTATCTCGTTCCAGACATTTTCAATTTTTGTTGTAATCGGCGTACGATAATTTAAAACTGAATTTTTCCATATATTTTTTTAGAATGAATTATACTTTCATTAGTAATAAATGTATTTCATTGCATAAATATTACAACTAGTGTTCGATCTGTCACTAATTTAAAGTTTTTAAAGTAATCCCTGATTAAGTCTTATAAATTCTCTTGTACTGAGATCTTGGAGATTGCTTTGTGCAAAAGTATTATTTTTTGTTCAAGTGAAGGTAAGTTTTCAATTAATTCTGTAGTGTTTTGTTTAATTTGCTAATGTGAAATGAAAGATAAAATTAAAATATAAGTTATTTTCCATAACTGTATTCTACAGTGTGCAGAAGTTTTGGAAAGATTAAAACATATTAAATAATTTTAATGTATTAATTTCTTCCACGCCCATTGCTTGTAATGTGACAGTTTTTATAAAATGAATTTATATATTGCATAAAAATAGAAAATGATCCAAGTATTATGTGCATGGCATGTAGTATAAATTTCAACATGTAATCTCCAAATTAGTTGAAAATTTTAATTTGAAATAGTAGTCGAATATTTCTGATATTGTGTAGAAATCCAAAATGTGTCAGTTAAGAATATATTTCAATAAAAATGTAAATATTTGCATGAGTAATGTTTAAATTTGATTAGGAAAAATTATGTGGATTCTGTTGACTTGTCAAGCATACTGATATTTTTTGCTGTTTAAAAGTGCAAAATTTATAATTTTTCATTATTTTTATTTATACAGTGTACGTTGTAGTATTTGCGAACAACTTGAATTTTCTGTACAAAGTGGGATCTCATGTTTTGAAGTAATTCAAATACTGTAATGTCATCAAATATGTTAAGCAAGTAGTATGTATCAAGTAGAAACATCATATTATTTTATGTTTATTGTAGAATTTATTGTTTGTGTGCATATTTTGAAAGATTTAATATTGCATAGTCAAGACAATTGTTTTTTTTTTTTTTTTTGTGAAAATCAGTATATCTCTTTATAATCTATTGTCATATTTGAAATCTGAAAAACCACAAACTATATCACTTATAAACTGATTTTTGTTTCTTGGACCTATTTCTGCTTGGTATATAAGTCTCATTTTGCTGATCATCACATTTAAAATTACCAAATAATAATGCATATTATTTGAATATGTTAATATTTAATGATTTGAATTTATGTTACTAGTTTTAATACTTCCATATTAAATTGGCCATTGTGTGCCAGTTTTGGCAGTTATGCAGTACAGAATTTAGTAATCAAGTTGGCTTCTTTCAGCGATAAAATGCAAGGGAAGTCTTTTTTATTATATTGTAAAAGAAATACGTACAGAAGGTTTTTGAATGAAAATGAGGCAAAGTGCGAAATTAAATCTTTAACTATAGACTATATTGCAAAAAACTGTAAGGCTAACTTTGTCTCTAGTATTTATTTGAATGGGATGCTAAAGAAAATAATAATTTAACACTTACATCTTTTCTTGCCAACCATGAAAGTTGGGGGAGATCCCGCCAAGCTTCTGGCAACTTTTTTATGCGAAAGTTTAGAAAAACAGACTATGTAAGACAAGCAGTCTACAGGTATGCATTATTTATATAGCATTAAAAAAACTTAAATATGAGCTCAAAACATTTATCTGATTAATAAGTTTATTAAAATTACTGTTAATAATTCCAGTGACAAAAAATCCTTGATGGCATTTAAAATAGTAACAAAATTGACATCTTTTTTATGCACTTAGTGACACATAAATTCAGTAAAAATATATTTATGGGTACCCATGGCGATTTTTGTCGGTACATGGATACCAAGTTTGTGCAGTTCTTTGACTTGTTATTTTGGCTTTGTGTAGCACCGATTTTTGTGTCAAAAGTCGCTGCACCGTGAGGACAAAATAACAGGTCAAAGAATTGCACAAACTCAGTATCCATGTACACGTCAACCTATTTTCACTTAAAAAAATCAGAGAATTGCATAAACTTGGCATTGTGCACTCCCCTAACTTTATCCATGTACACATCGACCTATTTTCACTTAAGTTAAAAAAAGCACCCAGTTCTACAGTAGAGTCAAACAAAAAATACGTAATCTTAATAAACTACATTTTAAACCAAACCACAAAAATAACATAAAAAAGGAAATTCATCTTATGCATCTAAGCACTACACAAAGTAAATATCCTAATTAACCTTATTTAGAAATTTCTGAGTTCTTCAAACTGTGGCACATAAAATTCCTATACAGCATCCAAAAACTTCCTAAATGAACTAGAATCTATATATCGGCGTCGCTGCATAAATTCACAAAAATAAAGAGTAAAAAATATCCTCCATAGGGCCGATATCCTCCAACGTTCAATCATACGCATTTCCTTCCTACAAACAGGACACTTATAATGGCTACTAAAGTAAACCTTCATTTACACACCAGTCAATTAATGCACTTTTCCCCTTTCGTTCCAAATTGTACAGAAATTCAAATTAATCTTGCAACATTCAGCCATTCTACAGTCTAAACAATGAAATAAGCAATGTACTTCTTAACCACACACACCATGAAAGCTCATACAAAACATTGCATGATTCAAAATTTCCCGGAATAATGCAAACGATTACGTCATAATAGGGTTTCCATAACATTCAGCTACTCAGGTTACCATAAATGAAACAACTTCACAATAATATAAGAGGCACCTGTTGCCATATTTTCAGAATGTGCCAAACTGCGACAGCTAAGGGCATAACAATTCTTTACTTAAGCAACATCGCCACTTTTGTATGCATTCTTTTTGTTGTAGAAAAGACAACTTTTATCAACAAACTTTATACTTTTTTGTTGTAAATACAGTTTTAAGTTTTGTGCTTATGGGATTTGCCTACAGTGAAATATTTTCCGGTAGACGTTTTGCAGGCATGCATAATTTTACTGCAAAATTGCTAAAGAAAAATCGCTCCTTTTAATCTAACCTTAACGAGATAGCCAAAAAATTTCCAACAGTGCAAAAGAAACAAAATTCATTTATAAGTTGGCTTATTCACTGATTTTTTCGGTATAAATACCTAACTAAAAGTAAAAAATGCATATGATAATTAATAGGTAGTGTTATGTTATTGGGACCAGATTCAGAAATATGGTATGGTAATTCAGTAATACTCATGCTGTGATGTCTCAACTTTTTATTTTAGTAATTGAATAGCAAGAATATGGCAACCTTTTATGTTAACATTACGCTAGATTTTGAAATGCTCTAAGAAATGTTGACGAGGAAAAATTTTTAGACATCGCCATGTGAGTCATTACTCAAGTTGTCATGTGTTGATAAACATGCGGTGATGAAAGCAAAATATAATAAATAAAGCTTCGGCAGGTTGGCGTTGGGGATATAAAATATTAGTACAGTGGAACCTTGAGATATGAGCACGAGAAATTTGAGATACAAGAAAAGTAAGAGCGAAAAATTTGTCTCTAGATACGAGCATTGGCTCGAGTAACGAGTAATGAGCCAGTCTGTTGTTATGTTTGGCGCCATTTTCTGATCTTCCCTGACTTGGGAATCTGCTCATCACATCACTCAGTGTTCTTTTGTGCACTTGTGAGTTAATTGTTTATTACATTTAATGTGAAAATAATTATTTCACGATGCCTTCTAAGAAGATTGTTGCCTCAGATAGTGCTACAAAGAAGAATAAGGAAGCCATGGCCTTTGAAATTAAGAAAGAAATGATAAACATAAGCGTAGTGTAAGAGTGACGGAATTGGCAAAGACTTAACGGCCTTTCGACATCAACGACCTACACTATTTTGAAGAAGTAGGAAGAAATTAAGAAACTTGATGTAGCCAAAGGATTTACTGTTTTACACTATTCTGAAGAAGAAGGAAGAAATTAAGAAACTTGATGTAGCCAAAGGAACCAAGCACTGTCCAAAACTCCTAGAAGCTGCTGTTGGTGTGGATCAAGGTGTGGTTAAAAGGTCGGTGCTAGAAGCTATCAGTTTGTCTGAAGCCATCATAAAGGTAAACTACTGTTATATTATTTACCAGTGTTTATTAAAAAAATTGATTTTTATGTTGATATTTTTGGAGGTGCGGAATGGGTTAACTGGATTTCCATCATTTTCAGCGGGGAAGTTTGTTCTAGAAGCGAGAAATTCGCTATGCGAGCTTAATGCTGGAGCTAATTAAACTCATATACTGAGGTTCCACTGCAAGTGTAAAATCAACAGTGTATCTATGTAGAATGTTTTGGTTTGATATGTGTACCAAGCAGACATGAACTGGAGCCAAATGCTCGATCATAACAAATTTTGGCTAAAATTATTGTTTCTTCAATAACGAGGCGTTTTATTTAGTGCCGAAGTGAAATTACGAAGACTCTCCATGTGTTTTATTATGCGTGTGGGATCAAATGTGCATGCGTAAAGCATGCAAGAGAAAAAAAAAAGGTGGTGGTGTCATTGAGGTCTGGATTTTAGATCATTTGGAATATTGGATGTCTCGCACTTTGTACTGTATATATTTCAAAAATCAAAAGTTAACATTGCATCACCATCATTCTGAAACCATACATCTTCAAAGGAGTTTGAGTATTTGGCATATGCTTGGTTTTGAGAAAAATCAGGTTACGATTTCTGTATAATAATTTTCATACAAGGTGAGACAAGTAAGGTTACTGATGTCATAACTGTGTTATATATTTACATATAAATACATCACTGTCCTTCAAAGTAGTTTCCGTCATCTACAATACACTTCTAACAACGTTCATATAAGTTCTGGAAACTTTTGAAAACGCCTTCCTTTGAGACTGTGTTAAGTCCCTTGGTAACAGCAGCTTGAAAATCGGTGTCCTTTTAGTATCAATTTTAGTCGTAGAAAGAGGAAAAACTCTGCTGGCTTAAGATCAGGGGAACAAGCAGGGTAACTTCGTAACCTTTTGCTGCACGAGGAATCATCTAACATACATAAGGGACACTGATTTTCAAGCATCTCAGGCATTCAAGCTGCTGTTACCATGGGACTTAACATAGTCTCAAAGGATGACTTTTTCAAACGTTTCCAGAACTTGTATGAACGTTGTCAGAAGTGTATTGTAGACGGCGAGCACTACTTTGAAAGACAGTGATGTATGTATATGTAAATATATAATACAGTTATGACATCAGTCACTTTACTTTTCGGTCTCACCTTGTATGTTTAATTCACAGAATGTGCATTTGTTTCGTTTAGTATAAAATATTGCCACATAAATATATATAATAATTGCTGCATAAATATATTTCGGCAATGCCATGGGTTGCCTTTAATGGTAACAGAGCACATATAACGTCATGTATAGTTTTCAGGGAGGGGAGTAATCAAAAAAGTACCAAATGTTATTTTTTAATTCTGAAATTTTATGTTTGGCTACAAAACGCATGCCGCCTGGATGGGATAGTGGTTAGGAATGCTGACTACCACAATGAAAGCCACAGGTTTGAATCTTGGAATCAAGAAGCTCATCAAATTAAAATTTAAATTATATTACAGTTAAAAGTCTTTAATCCGGGCTCGTCGATTCCAGATTATCGATTTTTCCGTATTATAGATCATCAATTAAAATCTGGTAAGATAGCATGCAGAAATTCTTAAAATTAAAAATAGGAAACCGTAATTTATGAAATAAAGAGCAATTATGATCTAAAGGGTATCAAAATTTACACACAAAAAAAAAGCTTAATATTTATTTGTTTACTTTATTATACATTTCTTTCAACGCGCGCATTCGTAAAGCATACATTATGCATAGTCGAAATTAGAAAATTGCAACCAGAAAACTATTTGATGTGTATTCATGATATTTATAATGATGAGGAATTTAATTTAAATCATATCAAAGATGGAGTACATCAAGATGAAATACTGCATTTAGTAAGGAATTATAAGCCGAATAAAATAAAAACATCTGCCCTGAAGATAAGGATAGTGCTGACAGATCAACTTCCAGTTTATTGTGCGCCGCGACATCCCTCTTCCCTACCCCCTCAAGCCAGTGTGAAATTGCTAAACATATTTCGGAATGGTTAGAGATACAAAGGATATGCCTTTGTTCATTTTTTGCAGCAATTCCACTTTTTGTTTAATGGACATTGAAACATGCTTTCGCATTGTAGATCTTTTGGCAGCTCCAGAATCGTAAATTCTTTTTTACATAATCGAAATTTCAAGCTTACTTTTATAAAATTGCTCTAACAGTCTGCAAAAAATAATAAGACAAATCCAATTAGAAGATTAAGGAACAACACAATCTGCAAAATTAACGGAAATAGACAATTTTAGCTTAGCTTATACCGTCCGTTATACATTAAACGCGCATGCGTAAAGGTATATGCGATGCGTTTACGCATGTGCAGAAAGTTTGTAGCTTTGAGGTCCGGAATATAGATCATTCCGTATTATGGATGTCTGGATTAAAGACTTGACTGTATTTTAATATTTTCAACTAATCTGTAATATGGTCAGTATTATGAAAATATTAGGGAACTATGTCCCCTGCTTGGTAATGCTTGCCAGGTACTAGAAACAAGTGTACATTAACTATGCTCTTCCTTTTTCCTTGCCTTTTAAAAAATCTAAATTAGTGGGTAAACTTTTTTTTGCTTATTTTACATCAGTGATACCATAGATCATTGTGAATTTAAATTTATGATTTAAATAAACTGCATTTTTATTTAAGTATTATGAAATTAAAAATTGACATTACTAAACAAGCAAGCATTGGATAAATCACAAATTGTGTTATTAAAATATTTTATTTAAAGAAATTTCATTATATTAGCAGAAGTGAACAAGACTACTTATCTTTTTTGTGTGTGTTTATGTGAAGATAGCAATCCTTTATGTCTGCTTTCCATTTTTGTGTCTCTAAAAATAGGATTTCTTAAAATAAGACATAAAGAAAATTGCCAAAGATACCATTAGTTACACTCATATTTTCTGTAAATAAATGCATTTAAAATTCACTGGATGGGCAACTGCTAATTCATTTTACTTTGTATGTAAAATGAATTAAATTATGTCTTATTTCTGATTTTAAATTATCTCTGTCAGAACATGTTTTCCTGATAAAAAACAGTCCTTCAGGAATGCACAGCAGCAAAGAAGTATATTGTCAGCTATTCTAATTCAGAATACGAAATTTGTGGTATCAGTCGTTGATCAAATAACAGTTATTTTAATAACATTATTTTTATTTTGTATTATTAGTCTAAAATAGTCTTTTCTGCTTGTATGATCCCTTTCAGTTAATCTTATTAGTTACTGAATCTCAAGTTGGTATAACAAAAAACTATTAATTCTTCAATAAGCACAAAAATTACTTACTGTTTGAAAACTGTTTAAAATGATTACATTTTTAATAGTAAAGTCATATGACAAACAGTATAAGTATAGAATCTAGAGGAGGTTAGACTCCTGGCAATGCATTTTAAAAAATATCACGAAAGCAAAGCAAGTGCATTGTGAAATTTATGTGTTTCTCAATTGTTGCTTACATATTGATTTTGTCTTTGTTAAATTATATTGCTTTAAATACCATATGTAAAATCTATAAGGCAAATAGTTAAATATCATATTTGTAGTTTATCATAGTTAAATAGTTAAATTAAATGGTTAAATTACATATATTTGTGGATAATTTTTTTATGATTGTTACATTTCAAAGTACTTGAAAGTCATATGCATCTTGTTGTTTGCATATACTGTGTTTACTTGAATGTAAGACCCTCTTTACATTTTAGGATAAGGTTTAAGAAATAAAAATGTAGGTGAATATTTGATGAGAGCAGCAGTTATTCTAATTATAATGAAAGGTAAGCTACCTAATTAAATACAGTATTTTACTATGGTATGAGAATTAAATTTAGGAATAGTTAGATTTAGATATTTATTTTCATGTGTACCAGTGAACAGTATAACAGGCAAAAGTCTAAACTGGAATCACTTAGCTGATTATGGTTATTATAATTAATGGTAGTTATGTAATTTATACATGTGGTATTTTATTTAGTTCTTAAATAGGTAATTATTGTATATAACATGTTAGTAAAACTTCTGCTCGTACTATGATTTATCAAAAATACTTATTTAAGTCCCTTCCAAACTTTAGAATAAAAATATAATGGAGAAGGGTCTTATTTTCAAATAAATATAGTATATTCTTTGATATGTTATTAAAATGAGTAATTTTAAGTTTATTCCAATTATATTATAGGAGTACAGTGAATTTATTTAAATAATGGTACAAGAAAAATGAGAAGCTGGTGTTTGTAATAATCTTGTGTTTACTGTCATTAACATTAGTGTGTTAATTTGAATGTTCTTTACCTAAAGGTAACAGTTAAATGCATATTTTATTTCCAGCTATTTTAATTATTCTGCATTGAGTAATGAAAACCATAAAAATTGGAAATTTACGAATTTTTAACTTAGTCTGACTATAAGAGAACTCTCTTGCTGAGACACGTGTGCATATTTGAAAATGTTTTCCCCTCAAAAAAAAAGAAAAAGAAAAAAAGCTGTGATATAAATAAAAATGTTAACTTGATATAAGTGTGTTCTTTAAAGAAAGTAAGGTAACTGTGTCTTGGCCCAGCCCGGGAGCTTCTGTAAGAGCGAAAAACTTGCCAATGGATATATATGCCTTCTTATTGCAGTAATGTCCTTATTTTGGGAAAATTCTTTGTAATGAAAGTGATGCATTTAATCTTTATAAACGTTTGCAGGTTATTTTATTTAGTGATATCTGGGATTTATCATTTCATAGTGAAAGGAGGCAGCTGTGCTATCAACTGCTTTCTCACTTTCTATGCTGAAAATAGTCCTTATCCTGGTAAGCCTCGACAGTTGTTATGCTCGTAAGCATTATCTTTCAACCATTAAAACTTTTAGGTACTTTAACAATCTCTAAAATTTGCTTAGTTCCCTGTTTAAATTTTCAGTCTGGGATCAGACACAAATACCAAAAATAATAAAATTTTCTAAATGATATTCATAATTTAAGGTAAAACTCGGTAAATATATACAGTATAAAGTCCGAGATCCGGGCTCATCGGAACTTCGAAGATTCCGGATTTTGGATTTTTACGGATATTCGGTCATCAATTTAAATCTAGTAAGATGGCAAGCAGAAATTATACAATTAAAAATATGAAGTCATAATTTATTAAATAGAGCTTTATATCTAACCGTATCAATTTTAAAAAAAAGCTTTTGTATTGTTTACTTTTAAAAGTTTTTTTTTTATGTAAATGTTTTAGTTTGATTTTTGTGCTAATACTTTTTTTATCGATAAACAAAAATTTCTTGTTCGTACAGTCCATGTAAATGTGTGGGAAGATACCCACTAAATTGAATTTTTTCGTTTCAGTACTCTCTTCACCAATTTTTGCCTCCGCCCCGTGCGGCATATGCCACGCGCTCCTGCTTATGTAATAACATAAATTTATTCTTAATTAAAATAGCACTAATGTAATCTTTGGACTATGAGTTTCATTAAGAAAATATATTTTTAGTATCTGAAAGAAAATTTTTGTTTTTTTTCCTCGTGGATTCTTAGCGCATTAAAAAGATAATCATCGCAAGAGGTAATGTTAGCATAAAAGGTTGCATATCTTGTTTCAATTCTAAATATAAAAAAACATGTTATAGTTGCGGACATGATATTAATGAGCTGTGTGTATTGATAAACATGCGGTGATGAAAGTAATATAAATAATATGGTCATCCCTGATGCCAGGATACAAAATACTATCAAGCGATCTCAGGCTAGGAGGCAAATTATCAATCTCAAGATTTATGCTTACCTGATTGTTTATCATACAAGATTTTTATTAGGTCCTAAATAAAACTAAGAATAGAATTTTAATTAAAAAATTTTCCAATTTATTATGGACGGGAAAAAAAAAAAATTTGGCTTTAAAAAAGTCGATTTTAATTTGTTCCGGATTTTGGACATCCAGATCTGGACTTGTACTGTATTAAACCTGTAAAGTTTAAGTAGCTGTAACGTTTAAATAAACGAAGTTGCTTATATATTTAAAAAAGTGTTTGGATTGTATGCAAGATACGTCCTCTCTCTCTCTTATTTTTATTATTTATTTTTTATTAGGATTTTTTATTTGATTGTTGTCAGGGGGCCTGGAAATGATGTGTATATGTTGTATATGTGTAAGCACAATGTGTATGCATACTAGTCAAGATGACTAATTAGGGTCCCGTTAACAGAAAAGTACTTTAAAAAAAAAAGTCCTTTTATATTTAGGCTTATACAATATGCACAAAGATTTTTATTATGGGTTTAACCCTTACACCTTAGAAGCGAAATTTAAATTTACTTTTTTTTTTTTTTTTTGCTTGTTTCAGTTTATGTTGCAGTATAAATACTTTTTATGTAAAATTTCAGTGTAAGAGTCATATTTTCAGTCCTTCTTTGTTATATTTTTTATCCTGGTGGTTATTGAGACTTAAATGAATAAATGTTTTTTTACTTTACTGTCATAAGAACTGTGAATTAATGGGATACATAATTATTTAATAGTTTTTCTTTGGTATTCTACATCAAGATAGAAACTCATTCTCTTTTTGCGTATGCGTTCACATTTGTCAGGTTTTCCATCTTTATTGTTACTTTCTTATTATAGTGTTCTCCAAAATTTAATTGCCAATCAACCGAAATGTAACATGTAGCAAGGTACAAGAACACACGTCAAGATTTCTGCAAAATATCTCGGTTGATTAGCGATTTACTGTTTGGAGCCACTAATAAAAAGGAAGTACCTCTTTATTATATATAATATAAAAATAAGTGGATTGCAGAAGTGGGTGTTAAATACTTAAAAATGCTATGCTTTCTGGAAACTTGCACAATTTCGTTTTCAGGTTATTCAGTATTAAATAGGTGTTAAAGCCTAAAGATATATCTAATATTAAAAAGGAAAAATAATTGTGAAGGGCATAAAGATTTAGAATATACGTAAAAAGGATAACATTTCGGCTAATCTTTGGAATATGGTTACAGATAGTTTGGCGACATTTTGGGAAGGCGATAAAGGTTACTAGCTAGGACTTCAGCAATAATGAGAAGTACACAGTTCAACCACAGATTATTTGTCTCAGAGAAATGAAGATCATGAGACATGTAATGTGACATTTTGGAAAATTCCAATCGGGATTTTAGAAAAGCACTAGAAACAATTTCGCTGCTAAATGCAGAATCGCCCACTTATTGTTTGGCCTTTTTACAAGAGTAAGAAGAATTGGTTTTTGTCAATTTTCTTGACTTTTTAAGTAAAAATAGGTCAGGAGTACATGATAAAGGTCAGGAGTGTGTGCAATGCCATTTTTGTGCATTCTGAGATGTTTTTTATGAAGATAGGTCTGCTGTACATGGTACCTTGTATAGCATTCTTAAAAATGCAGCAAGAGTGGGCGATTCTACACTTTCCCAATTCGCACCTAATCTTCGTCATGATTAAGCACTTTGTTCATAAAAGTTCTAGCGTAAGCGTAATTCGGCTAACAGATTGTTGAAAAAAAGTTAGTTAAAAAAAAGTCTTACTTGTGAAAACAAAAAAATGACGTCAAAAAAAAAAAAAAAAAAAAAAAAAAACAAAAACTAGCAGGTTGCTGTAGCAGTGTTGGTCGCCAAAGTTTCGCCAAAAATTCGCCAAGTTACCATAATCGGAAGATTAACCAACGTTTTCTTTACATATATGTGAGAAAAGTATAAAATTGCAAATTTATTCCTTAATCTCCAAAGAAAATTTTGTCAAAAATCTTAGACGAGGAAAGAAAATTTTCATTTTCTAAAAGAATGTATATTTTTCTGGTATTACTACTATGCGTTCAAAAATCCTTGTTGTTAAATGTCATTTTTTATAGAAATGTGTTATATTCAGATGGAGCTGTTATCTAAAACTTGAATGTTTGATATTTTTTTTTTATTTTTAATTAAAACAATTTTGAAAGTGTTAAGATTTTATTTTTACACTTAAGATTGTTACAAGGGTATGCTAATAATATGACAGTTGTATAATATTAATTACAAGTATCAAGATACAAGTTCAATTATTTAATAAATTTTAAGTGCCAAATTATTTAATTAAGCTTTTAAAATAGACATTCTGAAAGCTATGAAGGACAAAACGTAGTTTATATGAAGTTTTACACGTTTCAACTACTCATTTCATATGAGTTGTAAGACAAGAACATTATTGGATTACTTTTTTACAGATTTCCCTTATATTTTACAGGAACTTTTAGGTTGATCCTGTTGTGTTCCCCCCTGAAGTTTTGTCACTCATAGCTTTTGAAATTTCAAAGTTACAACTGATGTACATTTATAAATTACTAAGACTTAAATGAATACTAATTTGTGAAATGAGGTAAGTTAAATAACGGTCTTTTAAACTTAATATAAAGGCTATTTGTTGAAATATGTAGTTTTTCAGTAGATTTGATAAGTAATTTTTTTGTACATAACTAAAAGTATGTGAAAAGCTTTTATGTAAGAAATCAACACAAAATATAAATATGTGAACAATAATTGTATTAACTCTTTGCTTTCAAATAAATCTCTCTTTTTTAATCAAGCTTGTGGAGAATGTTTATTTGCATTTTTTTTGAGAGGAATACACAATACAAATTTTTTAATGTTTATTTGCTAATGAGTAGCAATTATTGCTATTGATGCATAGAAATTTGTATCATTATTATCATCGTATTCCAAATTTGACAAATCATGGAGGCACACAGTGAATATTTCTACATACATCAGGAATTGATTATGTTAACCATCAAGTATCAACATTTCTGTATAAAATTTATTTTGTATTAAAAAGAACTGCCATGTTTAGAAAGAAAGGTCGGTACATTTCCGTTTTGCCGGCGCAAATCTCGCCAAGCAGACTTTATTGGTGACAACATACAGTATACACATAAAAAATATTTTAAAAAATTTAGTTCTAAGAATTCTTTTTTTGAAGGCATAAACATTTTAATATTGCTTAAAACTTTATAAAAAGCCAATAAATAAAGACAATAAATTTGTAAAAAGATATTAATTTAAGAATTTACTATGCTTTCATGGTTCAACATCCTAATTCGCCGGATTCCCCAAGCGATCTCATCTCACGTAAACTCCGCTACAAAAATCTATCTCTCGTAATTATCTACATTAATTTCAAATTAAATCTTAGTTCAAAATACAAGTTTAAAATTCAAGTATTATTTCAATGCGTACGAATAGCTTACTGAGAAATTATATAAAGCCGCAGTGCTTTACTTCGCTAATGCATTCTCACTTAGAATGGATGAAATTTAACCCTTTGACGTTTGCCTCTTTCGATATTTTCGGCCTTCGGGTGAGCGGTGTGATTGCATCCTAATTTACTTAATTATCGCGAAAATGGCCTTACGGCATAAAATTGAACTATCTGATAAAAATTCTATGTAATTGTATGCCAGTATTGAAAGAAACAATCAGTCTGATAAGAAAAAGCTGCAACTTGTTTTGAAAATGAGGCGTAAAAGGTTACCAGCGAGAATATTCCATTTGGCATCGGTTGTACCATTATTGGCGACTTTATCGCTTGCGCCGGCAAAACGGAAAAGTACCGAAAGGTCTTATGTTAGTAAGGCATTGATGGTAAGTTTATTTGCTGAAGCACTTATCAGAAATATAGTAGCATATGAGGATTCAGGAAAAATTAAAATCTGATAACAGAAGTACTTCTCTACCTTCCAAAAGCAGGATGTTGTTGAAATTTAAATTGCTTGCACGTATAAAGCTTTAATTATTAACAGCTCATTTTAAACATAAATACAAATTGTAAAAGAATCATTATAATAGTTTTGGTACTATGCGAAGACCTAATGATAGTGCCATTGTTGTGTATATGTGTGTGTTTGTAGATTATTCTTGTAACTAGAAATAGTTCACAAATAGAAAACCTATAAAAATGCTTGGCAGGTGCATAGTGGGAAAACACGATTTTTCTATTTGACTGCAGTATGAATTTTTGAATACTTTCTTCAATTTATTCATATTGAAGGATACTTCAGTGTTAGGTTTGAAAATAATGAGTTTTATGTAGTGGTTATTCTTTTCTCATATGTTCAGCTTTTCTAGTTCTGTGCAGTTCTATAATATATAATTTAATGCATCATATTTCAGTCTATCATTGGCTTTTATACTTATACTACCTTTTGAAAATTAAATAAATTTTTTGGTGCTGTTTCAAGTGATTACTTATGTAAAAACCTTATGCTATTTTTTACGAGAAATTTGTTGGTCCATTTGTTTAAACTACCGAAATTAATTATTATGTTGGTCATAGTTTTGATTTGATTTTGTTTTGTTCTTTCCTATCAATAAGTTTCTTATGGTTATGGAATATATCTTGATCCTTTCTTCAGTTTTATTCTGTAAATTATTTAAAATTAACAGTTTATGTGCATGTTACATCTTCCTCTTTAATTTTCTTTATGCTGCTGTGTAAAATAAGTCTTGGCTATGTGGCCCCCCTCTCCAAAAAAAGTAAGCAAATAAAATTGTCTTTTTTTACTATTGGAAAAAATGTTTCTCTGATTTTAATGTGATTATCATCTACAATGTCAAAATATAACTCCAGTACTTTGTACTCCATTATAATTTCTTTTGCTGGAAATAAGCTCAGTCATCTTATTTAGCTACTTTTAAATGTAGTTCTATATTCTGTAATCATCAGGTTAGTTTCTATCTGACAATATTTAATTATTATTTACACCTTATTTATTACCTTTTTGTAGTTCTAGAGTTCTGATGTAATTGGTATTTCTGATTTAGATTGTAATTCATAAAATGATATTCCTCATATTCATTTAGATGCTGTAATACTTTGTAGGGTTTTTTTTTTTTTTTTTTTTTTTTTAAATTTTGTTCCTGCCAAGAAGTTTTTATGTATAAACTTAAAAAAATTTGGTCTGAAATTTTAAAAATGCAAGTATGATTTAGATAAGTTTATTTATAAGATAAGGTGGACATAATGCAAAATTTTTGTTGATCCTCCGTATAGTCAAGAAATTGGGGCATCGGAGTGTAATTGAGATATATTAGGTGAATAATATGGATAAAAACTGGAAAAGGTCATCTAATATTTGTGTTTTTCCAGGTAACCGTTCAGACAAGCTGACTGTTTTAAGTATTTAGCAGAATGTCAGCCAGGTTTAGCTATTTGTAATTAAACTATATCTTAACTTCCACTCAATTTTGCAGTTAGCTATACTGTATTTCAGATGTAGTATTGTGGGATGTCATTCAGACAAGGTTACAATCTAAATCTTGTCTTAGTATGTTTTTACAATCAGATATTAGAGCTGGGGAAAAACAATTGGCTAGTAATCTAAGGTTTGCCTATCAAATCCACAAGATCTGTCATAATTGAAAGAGACCATAAAACTTTAAAATATACAGATTCTTCTTGCGATTTTCCATTCATCATTGTTGTCAACAGTCTCCCACATGCTGAGCATTTTATCGTCTGTATTTAATGTCTGCAAAGGTGGGCACATTGAAACGTGTGCTGTAATGTCTACTCACATTACCATCATCTTGGAATCATTGCCAAAGCCTGAAGACACTCTGGGCAATTCCAAGTTCGTCTGATACTTCCATTTGGGTACGCCCACATTCCAGACGGCCGATAATTCTACCACATAAAAAGTCATCCAAATGCATCCTTTCTGTCATAACTATTCAGTTATTGCACTGAAATACTTATAAAGGGCCTGCGAACAATTTTACTTCTTTGCCTGTATTCCTTATATATCACTCTCTTACATTCTCATCATTGTGACGTACCATCGGTGTCATCTGGTTACTTCCTGAAATTTGCATATGATTCTTGAAGATGTGTGTAGTGCTTTTACAGGTGATATGTTTATTTTAGAGTTCGATTTCCGCGTGACTCCGAATTATCCTTAATTTATGGACATGAGTGTAATTAAAGTTTTTTCTTATACTCTTTCATGCTATCACTGGTCCTGTATAACGTTCATTGTAAATGTTTGATGCCAGTAGTTTTCATCATATATGTATTGTCCCATCACCATTTATGTTTTTTTCAGTGTGCTGTTTTTTTTTTTGGGGGGGGGGTGTATGTGTGTGGAAAAAAGTGGGTGTTGCCACTTGAAACTTTCAATTTCCCCCCCCCCCCCCCACTGTAACTAGAGCTACGAGATCACTAGTGTTTTAAATATTCACAATCATGAGCACATTCCTTCAAATAACAATAGGTGAAATTTCATTTCAATTGGTCGAGTGGATAGGTTGCGGGAAATTCATATATTGGGGATTTCTTGAATGACCATTTTGTATATATATATATATACACACAATAGGCGAAATTTCATTTCAATTGGTTGAGTGGATAGGCTGCTAAGAATTCATATATTAGGGTTTTTTTTATTGACCATTTTGTGTGTGTGTATATATATATATATATTATATATACATACAGTGGTGGCCAAAATTGTGGACACTTTTGGAAATTTTTATGTTTTTGAACTTTGTATGCTTAAAGAAAATGTTATGTTTTGCAAAATGCAAACTTGTATATATCATTTTAAAGAGAATTCATTATTGAATTCAATACAAAACACAAAATTCAATTATTTGCAATACAAGAAAAGTTATATGTACTTTAATATAAATAAAAAACACAGTTATGAAGTGGTTTGTAATGTCTAGCTTTCTTGGCCCAATCACTGTTCTTGTTCTGAGAACCAATCAGATGTTAGTAACTGCCAGTAGAGGCTGACATCATGTTTACACTTGAAACAATTCATTATTTTGCTTTGTTCTGTAGAAGGAGGACCTGTTTCTTATACACTGCAATTACAAGTAGGAATTTTTGTAAAAAATTTTTATATTTAGTCAAGAAGCAATGACATCAAATAAAAGAGTAGATTGGACACCTAGAAAGAGATGTAATATTATTGTGTTACGAGAAAGTGGTCTTTCCTATGCTGAAATTGCAAGACAGGTGGGTGGTTCAGTGACTACATCTGGAGTCAGGAGACAAATTCAATAAAAAAAAAAAAAAAAAAAAAAAAAAGAAGGAAAAGGCCGAAAAAGGTGCACCACATCTATTGATGACAGAAGAATAAAATGACTATGTCTCCAAGATAGAAAAATGTCATCAGCGGCCATCAGAAGTGATCAGAATGATGCTGGTGTTTCTGTCAGTTCAAGAACAACCAGGAGAAGATTAACAGATGTTGAACTGAGAGGTAGAATTCCACGAAAAAGCCTTATCTTTATTTTCAGCAACGAAAAAAAAAAAAAAAAAAAAAAAAAAAAAAAAAGACTACAGTAGGCAAAGGAACACATTAATTGGACAGATCACAAGATTACACAGATTAGTGGTCACAAGTTATATGGAGTGATAAAACTAAGATATTGTTATTCGGTAGTGATGGGCGAAAATATGTAAGACGTAGAATAGGAGAAGAGCTACATCCTGACTGCATTCAAGCAACTGTAAGGAACCCAGTTACTGTTATGATTTGGTCATGCATGTCAGCATATGGTATTGGTTGCCTTCATGTCGTCGATGGGACACTGAATGCCAGAAAATACATTGACACTATTCTAGAACCAAAACTTCTACCTTCCATCAGAGATCTCTTTCCCAACAATGTTTCGTTTATTTTTCAGCAGGATTCTGCTCCTTGCCACATGGCCAAAATATTGAAAGAGTGGTTTCGTACAAAGAGCATTAAATTGTTGTCATGGCCAGGAAACTGTCCTGACCTCAATCCTATCGAAAATATTTGGCACCGTTTGAAAACTCTTGTCC